TCTCCCTCTGACCCTCCTCCCTCTCATGCTCTCTGTCTCTCATTCTCTCTGTCTCAAATAAAATAAATAAAATCTTTAAAAAAAAAAAAAAATTCTTGCCTCAGTCTTACACGACATTTAAAAATACTTGCCTAAGTTTCTTTAACATTTTTTTAAAGTTCTTATTTATTGGGGTGCCTGGGTGGCTCAGACGGTTAAGCGTCTGCCTTCGGGTCAGGTCAGGATCCCGGGGTCCTGGGATCGAGCCCTACGTTGGGCTCCCTGTTCAGCGGGAGTCTGCTTCTCCCTCTGCCTCTGCCTGCTGCTTCCCCTGCCTGTACACACTCTCTGTCAAAAATAAATAAAATCTTTTTTTAAAAAGTTCTTATTTATTGATTTAAATCATCTCTACCCCCAAGGTTGGGCTTGAACTCACGACCCTGAGATCAAGAGTCACGCAAGATCAAGAGTCACACGCTCCACGTCTGAGTCAGCCGGGCGCCCCTCACCTAAGCTTTGTATTTACATTTCTCCTCTCCTTTCATCCCACATCCCTAGGGGATCTTACACTACTTCTTGCCCATTTTACAGAGAAAACAGGCTCTTAGAGAAGTCCCTTGCCAGAGGGCACACATCTAACAAGAGGCAGATTCAGGATCCAAACTGGGCTCCCCGCGTGATCTGCAGCATCTTTGAGTTCTTTATTCTCGGACAGGGGAGGGCCCACCTGAAGAGAAAAGGTGCCCGGTGTTTACTCTTACCAGCCTCCTGTGTGGGTCAGGAACCCACAGGGAGCATCCCTCGAGCAGACCCAGCACAGGGAGCGGGGGCGTTTAGCAGAAACACCAACATATCTCTGGGTTTTCCTGCCGGTGGGAGCCAGTGAATATTTCCTGGCCTGGACGCTGGGGGGGGGGGGGGCGGGGGGGAAGGCAAGAACAAGGCGGACCCTGGCAGGGAGCTGCCTCTGAGCTGTGTCCTTCCCTCCTTCCTTCCTGGACTCACTCATTCAGCAGATCTGGCCTCATGCTGAACAGTGCAGGAGCCCCAAAATTCTGAAGCCCCTCGTCTGAAGCAGGGGCAGAGCCGGCCCCTCTGTGGTTGGTGCTGGTGCTGGAGGGGTTAGACATGGGAGGGCTGATTGAATGGCAGGCAGAGTCTGGACGTTACCTCCAGATCACTGGGGAGCCATGGGAGGGTTTTGAGAGGAGCTGGGAGAGTCAGATAAAAAGTCGGATGGGGGTGGGCATGGGGGGCGTCTATTCCAAAGCAGGCCTTGGCTACAGGGGTTGGGAACCTAGTGCAGAGCACACATGCCCCCATAAGAGCCCGTGTGAGATTTGCGGGGAAGATCAGAGACGGTCCTGCCTGAAGGGAGGATGTGAGAAAGGAGGGATGAATGCCCTGCCCTCGGGATAGGATAGAGACAGGCTTGGGGTCCAGTGAGATCCGAGCCTCTGATGTCCCCAGAGCGTCCCAGCTGCCCCCCACCCCCTGCTGGAGATCGGATGTCCTGGTGGCCCCAGTCCAGCTGCAGGTAGGAAGGGAGGGTTCGCTTTGATCTCCTCTCCAGGGGCTCTGGATGACTAGGAGTGGTGGAGGGGGAGGAGAGGCGGGGTGGATGGAAGGGGAGGGAGGATTCCTAGAAACTGGGAAACAACCAGGAACTTCCTTAGATCCCAGGGTGGCTGTGGGGGGCCCACAGCCAAGATCAAACCAGGCAGTCTCAGGCCAGCCCCCAAGCCTCAGTTTCCCTTTCTGTGAAATGGGTGTGACAGTAGCACTGCTGAATAGGGTCACAGGGTGGCCTAAGGGAGATGAGGCAGGTGAGGATTGGGACCGCACAGGCACCAGATCATTCGCTGTGGTCGGGGGCTGTCCTGTGCATCGCAGCACTCCTGGCCTCCACCCAGTAGAAGCCAGGGGCACCCCCCCCCAGCAAGTCGTCACAACCAAACATGTTTCTGGGCATGGTCCAGTGTCCCCTGAACTACCCTGGGTGGCAGCCACTGTACTAGAAAATTCTCTGTAACAGGGTCTGCAGCTTCCTGGACCAAACCAGCTACCGCTTCCGGTGGCATTGACCCCAGTTCTAAGGGAGACCATGAATTAAGCTCATTAAACCCTCGCGACAACCTCCTGAAGGCAGACATAGTCATCGTCCCACTTTGGGGAGCGGCAGACTGAGGCACAGACAATTTCGGTAAATTGCTCAAGTCACACATCTAGGGCTTGGGGCCACCTCCCTGACCTTCTGCAGGTCCCACAGCAGCCCGGGCTGCCTCCTCCTCAGAGGCCTGAGGCCCCCGCCCCCACACCCCTTCTTTCGGGCAGCTGTGACCACTGCATTTGTGTGTGTGTTGTGCTTCACGTTGTGTCCCCTTCCCTGCAACCTCCCCTCCCGCCAAGTAGGTGACAGTCCTAACACCCAGGACCTTCGAATGCAACCTTATTTGGAAATAGGGTCATTGCAGAGGTGGGGAGTTAAGATGATGTCACGCTGGAGCAGTCCCCTGTGGACCCAATAAAAAGCGAAAGCTGGACACACACACACGGAGAAACCGAGGGATGATGAAGGCAGAAATATCGGGGTGACGCTTGGACAAGTCAAGGAACACCCAGCATGGCCGGCGCCCCCCAGGAGCTGGGAGAGCCTGGGGCTGACTCTCCCTCAGGACCGCAGAAGGAACCAGCTCTGATCGAGTCCTTGTTGTTGGACTTCTAAGCCCCAGAACTGCGGCGCAATACGCTTCTGCTGTTTAAGGCCCGGGCTTGCGGTGCTTTGTTTGAGCAGCCCTAGGGGACTAATATAGTGCGTGCGCGTGCATGTGCGTGCGCGTACACGTGTGTGCGTGTGCGTGCGCGTGCGTGCATGTGTGTGCACGTAGAAAAAGCCTTAGTAAGAAGTGTTACCAAGCTGGTGATGGGGAATATGGTGTGCGTACCGTGGCCTTGCCTACGCTGATTTTATACAAATGAAATGAATTTGCACAATATTTGCAAAATAACGTTCATTTCAAAAACAGAAGTTTAAGCCATCCTTAATGGATCTTGTATTTCTGG